AAAGTTGCCCCCCCCCCCCCCGGACCCTCCCTCGGGGAACCGTGTGTGAGGGCTGCACATGCCACAAATCTCACCATAAATGTGAACAATTCCCAACAAACAGCCTCAAACAACACGACCTCTACAGAACTGGCAACCGGAAAGTAGTACAGGAGAGGAAATGACTCATGTCTCGAAGGGACGAGAGGTTACAGACACTAGACAAGGGCCATTCCTGAAATGGGACTGCATGACAGTGATCAATGTAAATGCCATCTATGCAGATAATCCCCAAGATGCTGCCTCAAACAACATGAACTCTATCTCCAGAGCTGGCAACAAGAGAGTAATCACAGTGAGGAAATGACACCATGCCCTGAAGGAATGAGAAGTTACACACTCAAAGCCTTCATTTGTACTGGAATAGGTATGTGTAACAGTGATCGACGGGAGAGTACACTCAGGGCATATTCGCACTAGGACTTTTTGTAGTACGTTCCGGATGTGATTGCAATCAGATTAATCCGGGTCTTGCCCTAATTATGCTCAGATTCATTTAGAATGTCCTAGCGTGAGGATGCCCTCAGTGCAGCCAGTCATTAGCAAAGGACACAAACTGGTTTAGGACGAGCAGGTGAAAAATACATCCATGTGGATGTGCCAACCAAGTGAAAAAGAAAGCACATCCACTCCGCAACCGGGATGACGAATTACACCAACCTTTGCTTTCTCTAGAGGCGACACCCGGCAACAGACAACTGCCTTACAGCGCATACTAAGCTGTAGAAGCGTATGTCTCAGCTGTGGGTCAAATGCATATGACAAACACTTTCCATCGATGACAAGGGCCAAATCCCTCCCATCATGCGATGACTCAATTGACTGAGCTTCTGCCATTGCGGATGTCAATGCTTCACGGACAGTTTCCTCTATCACTTTTGCGACTTCGATGGGATCTCCCTTCACAAACACATCCACAGGAGCACAAACAACATGTGTAAATAGTCAGAAAAACAAAGCACAGTCATCACATCACTGGTAGAGGAACATCCATGTCTGACAACCATGAATGTTGTGAACATTACAAGATAATAAAATAGATACATCACACTCACCTCTTTTCACTGCCCTAGTCAGGGAAAAGCATCATGTCAAAAGTGGGGATTAAGAAACACCATGTAACTGTCAGAACTGTAACAAACACAAAACAGTAGTGAGTCCACGGACTTTGATTTTTTCAAGTCTTTCGAGGGTGAGTGTATTACAAAAGATTGTTTTGGCTTTGAGAGATTGATCATCATCAAATACTCCATAAAAAAGAAGAGAATTCAAAGTGGCTTTAAGTCCACTGCAAGGAAATTGAGCAGTAACGAAATGACGATAACCAGATTGCACAATCACATTGAAGGCCAGATAGTATCACAGTGTCCAGAAAGCAGAAATGCACCAATATAACACCAATGAAGATTCGTAACACTGAAAACCAATGTCAATGAGAGCTTGCTCTCGTCACCACCAACACGAGCGTCCAGGCCATATCTCCCTACTTGGCGCTCGGCGCCCAGCCTACTTCCTACACAGCTGCACTCTGCCTACTAATTGACAATGCAACTGTTGACGTCAGCAGTCCACAAAGTACTTGAAGATGTCGCCCATGCAGACCATCGGCAACACCAGGTATGTGGCCTCACATCATCATCATCGTCTTCCCTCTGTACACCCAAAGACCGCCCCTGCGCCTCACTGTAGTCCAAGCCCAAACAGCTATGGAGGCTGGGCTATGGCGCTGCCCTCAGCAGCGTCCTGCTCCCTGCACGACCGCAAGCGCTAGCACCTGGCCTCTCAGCGCCAGCAGCAGCCCACAAGCGTCCGCTCCAGCAGCGCTGCCGCTAGCATGCGAGTGCCTGAATACCATCCCAGGCCGTGAGCTCTTTCCTTTATGGAATGAGCCTCACTGCTCCGCCGGCCTGACTGGCCTGGGCCTCTGCCCAGAAGCTTCCGGTAGGCCCCAGGAGGTTGTGGCTCCGATGCAGCGCTGGGCCTCGTTCGGTTGGGCCTCCCAACTGTCTGTGAATGAGGCTGCGAACTCGTCCAGGGCCTGCATCATTTTGGAAAGGCCTAGAAGGCTGTGGAGTGTCTCGCTGCTCAGCCGGTGTTTCCCTCAACAAACTGGTGCGACAAAACTGCCTGGACCCCAAATACGATATTGACAGCCGAGGGCCTTTCGTGATTGGTTAGGCCCGCCTTCACTAAGGGCAGGCACAGATGCAACAGGGGCCCCTCAGGCCTGCCGAGGACTCAGATCCGCGCATGACTAGAACAATATGCCATCTAAAATGAAAAACAAACATTATCCTTCTTCCACTTGGCCTTCATAACACATTCACCCTGCTATAGCAGTGAAGGCTTCCACCTTATATACCAACAGTGGCAGCAGACAGAGTATTGAGAACCTCTGACTGACATGGACATCACAATGCATGTGCAACAGGAGCCAGACAAACCCAATGAACAAGTCAACGTTCACAGGCGTCACAAACAGCCCGTGACAAATTCCCACTCCCAAAGGCCAGGGATACATCCTAAAGATTCCGCCTTACTTTATCTTCTGCTTGGCGAATCGCAGGTGTCTCCGAGCTGATAACGAACTGCCTTTGCTCATTTGTCAGTAAGCTGCAAGCTGCCACATTCAAACGGAAGAGAACCACAGAGTTACCCAGGTATAAAGATTCAACCAAAAAGTCAACGAGCTCATGACCAAATCCAAATCAATTATTCAAAGTCGACAGAAAGGTCATAATAGTCCACTCAGATTCACAGATTGATCACAAAAGAAAAGCCGAAGTCCACTGGGGACCACAAAACCCCGGACACAAGCACCACCACAACATGCACGACTGGTCTTATTGTGATGAAGTCACAAGCATAGTAACTCATGTACTAAGGAGTCACAGCAACGGCAAGAGAAGTAAGGAGTATCCTCATGGTGATCTGGGAGCTCTTGCCTCGCGTTGTCGACCTATCACTCCGACAAAAACCAAACACAGCCTATCATTCACCATTAGGAGACAAGCTGGAGGTTTTCATCATGGATGATCACCAAGCTGTGATTGCTGCTAACATTTTAGCGTATCAGCGAAAGAGCTATGAATGCTGCCCAGACCAAGTCCAGATCCTAATATATAGCAGGGATAGGAAACATGCCTCCCACTGGGAACCTAAGAAACGTCATAGCTATACAGGCTGGGAAACTAAAACCTTGAGTCAGTTTTTCAGTAAAAGCCCACAAAACCAGCAGAATTGCACCTGAAGTGCCAGCACATTGCTTCTGGTGCCACAGTCACACCAATAGCTTGAGGTCACAAACCCGTTCAACTGGGTGCTATACCTGATCTAAGCCATGAGGTACTTTCATTATACCGTCTTCCCCCAAATTAACATACGGTGATTATGCCTGTATTTCAGTCCAAATGCAGCGATAATCACCATACGTTATTTTCGGGGTAGACCATAGTTGTCTCTCATCTTGAACAGATAGTACACCTGAACTAAGCCATGAGGACCTTTCATGCTAGTTGTCTCTCATCTTGCACACATGTAGCTTATCACAAGTCACTGGGCTTGAGACAGTTTATCACTAAAGAACGGAACCTGGCACCTCTTTCAGGATTATCCCTCAAAAGTGGAACAGAGCACTTCTTTTAGGGTGCTTCACTCAGAGAGAGAATCCAGAGACATACACCCACGACGTGTTCAGCATAACGTGATTTCTAGTAAAGTAGAGCCAGTGTGGACTTTGCTCGCATAAGAAAAGTGTTGAACACAATGTCATTGCGAACAGGAGTGAAACCTTATTCAACAGAAAGCCAGCCCATTATCTCCTTCGGATTTTAGAAGTTTTACTTTTCAATTTCAGCACACCCCGAAAAGACATGGGTTACATACAGTTCCCCCCTGCGAGAGCAGAAAACCAAACCCAAAAAAAAAAAGACAGCCGAAGGCTCGATGTCCTATTGTGCATCAAATTTCTCAGGGTCAAGATATAAGGCGAAACTGGCTAATGGTCCCAGGGTAACTCCGCGTGAAATTGTGGGGTCCCTGGCCTCAAATTTCGAATTATTAATGAAAATGCGAGTTAAAAAAAATAATAAAACGAAAAGAAGACAGCCATTTGCCAATCGTTCGTTGCCAATGCCCCTCCGATTGGGTCGTTGGTTCGAATGCAGCCAAGGGAGCTGTTCTGTGTTCAAAATTCTACTTATACTGTCGACCAACATTCTATTTCTATAATCTAATAATGCAGCCCGCAAAGCCATTCTTATCACTACGGCCAGCTCCAAAGAAAGGAAAAGGGATACCAACCACAACCTCATTTTTCTCTCTCTCTGCCTGTACTATCTCCCTCTCCCCTGCCGATCCTCATGCATCACCATGGCCAGTACCAAAGAAAGAAAGAGAGATACCACAACCTCATTTTCCTCTCCGCACCTGTACCCTCTGTTCTGCCTCTCCTTCTCCTCTCCCTATTCTCCCTCCTCCGCCTCCCCCTGACTCAGTCTCCTTTCCTGATTGAACAAACATTATACAGTATCCATTAACAAAGAGTGTATGTACGACTTCAAGACCGCGTTGAAAAACTCATGAGCAAAAATCAATGAAGACCTGACCTTTTCCCATGTACTCTCATGTACCTGGTATTGGCAGAATTTCCCACCGCCAGCACGGCAGGCGCCAGCACGGCAGGGGGAGTATATATATATATATATATATAKAGAGAGAGAGAGAGAGAGAGAGAGAGAGAGAGAGAGAGCATCTGACATTCATGCCATGGTGGTCAAGGCATACAGTTCCGATATACCATATGCAATATTAATCGCTGTCTCCATCTTGTCACCCGTTAAAACCCAGATCTTGATTCCCGCCCTTGATAACGTTTCAATGCAGGTTGGCACACCCTCCTGCAAAAAAGGGACATGTTTCCATTCTTCAGCCTCAGAAATACAGAGAGACGTATAAACAGAACATCACACTCAGAAGTAAATCATTGCAGCACACATTAAGCCATCAACTGCAGCATTCCAGCGATTCAACTTGCTCACAGCTTCTTTCTTTTTCCTGTGGATATTCAAGTAGATGAATGGAAAACTGTGTTGAATACCCTGGATCTGGCCGTGCTGTATGCAGCACCAAAACCTGGCGCTCCTGAAAGCGATTTTGTTGATTCTGTGGCCATGGGAAGCACCCAAGGAGCCATCTGCATAGGTGTTGCCGATAATTATGTCCTGATATCTAGAAGTCGCCCGGTATCTAGAAGTCACCCTGAAAATAAGGGACCTCCTTCAATTTTCCAGTGGACTAATTCAATTTCAGAAGGCTAGAAGAGAGAGAGAAACCAATATTGGAGGTGCCTGATCTAAGATGAAGATGGTGGAAGAAAAGCTGATGATGTGGCAGGAGGCGACAGATATTCCTTACCTGGAGTTTGTCTTCAATGGCGGTGCAGCCCAGAAGAACCAAGTTCTTCTCAATAAGCTCTGCAGTATCATCCATCTTCTTTTCTCTGTCCCTCAAAGATGACTTGGCCTGCACAAACTTTTCATTCCATGCTATGTACTCGTCCTCGTCCAAGTCCACATATGCTAAGCAGAGCTGCCACCACGCCACCAGTCAAGTGTTTCCAGAACAATAGAATCAACTATCTATAAGCGGAATTTCTCTTTAGTGTCCTCTTGCTGTTCCCAGATCCATGGAAAACTGACAAACAGGGCTCCACCACATTCTACAGGCCTTTCAGAGCATGGACATAGCACTACATACACAGGGCACATGAATACATAGTACATAAAACATCCAATCTCCCCCAGATAGGACGTGTATGGAATCACATGCATAGGTATTATACAGCACCACAAATGGAATCGTACATATCTATAGGACAGAGAGAGAATGGATATTGTGTCGGTGCAGTGGTTATGGATGCACTTGTGTTGCAACTATACTCCGCCACAATTATAACACTTCAGAAGTGCATCTGGGATTGAGCAAAGAGTGCATCTCATTCAAGCTGGTGGTCATTCAATGAGAGAGAGAACCTGCATTGGTGCATATCATTTCCACACAAAGGCATGCAAGGGGTGTGCTCAACACGACAGTCCTCTTCAAGCTCCCCTTTACTTTCTCCGCCTGAACCAATCTCCATGGATCCGTCCTTCCCTGATTTTCTTCCCCTCTCTTGAACCATAAGCGAGGCTGTGACAAGGAAACCTTTAAAAACTTGCAAGGCAAAAACAAAATTACCGTACGCAGTCCATCTGCTCCGTATTTTTCCAGGTGATGCCTTGTAATTTCCTTAAAACGGTTCCCCTGGTCAGCAAGCCGCTCGAATATCACGTTATCTGCACCCTGCAATTGAACGAAGTAGCACAATCCAGAAGAACACCAGTTACAGACAGAAGAGACAACACATCAAAGGAGGTTCGGGTGCATTTTCTTTCTTCATCTAAAAAAATCGCATTCCAAAGATAGTAGCAAGCAAAGAGAGGACAGCACACACAAATAAGAAGTGACTCAAGTGAAACCTTGGGCTGTTTTTCTTTTTCTTTCCTTAAACAGGTGCTTAGGATCCTGGCTCCTCGTCCTTCTGGTGAGCGTCCGTCTTGTTCCTATCCATCAGCAACTTCGAAGTTCAATCAGACGTATTAAATTTTGACCCACTCAACACTCCCTTCTGTCTAGGCTGAGAGAAGTTTGATCAGCATTGATTGCTTCACTGTGGGAGGATTCACTGTCAGGGCAAAATCGTTGCGATAGATGAAATCATACTAAGATCGAAGAAACTGGAGGGGCTGAGGATGAATAACTTCGAGCAAGTGGAAAGACGCACAACGTCAACCGTCACTGAAGAACACAGTCACTAGGAGGACGCACTCGCATCTTGAAGCCAACGAGCTTGCTACCCTTTACCCGGCCACAGCCACACAACGTCGGCCGTCACTGAAGAACACAGTCACTAGGAGGACGCACTCGCATCTTGAAGTCAATAAGCTTGCTACCCTTTACCCGGCCACAGCCACACAACGTCAGCCGTCACTGAAGAGCACAGTCACTAGGAGGAACCACTTGCATCTTGAAGTCTACCAGCTTGCTACCCTTTACCCGGCCACAGCCAGGCGCCAATCTACAGCGCTCGCTAATCCTTGTTAACATGACAGTCCTCGCCATGATGAAACTGACAGGAACCGTAGAAGTAAAAGGCACCACCAGTATGTTTCCGAGCTATTTTGTTCCATATACGCACCACAACTTTTGGGGGTTGGGGCTGCCTTGCAGACCATAGACGAACTGATCAACAGACTGCAGAAGCGGTCCTGACACCCGAAGGTCACCGCACATATACAGGCCCAGGTTGAAAGAGAGAGCTGCAGAACATATTGGTCATTCACGCAAAAAAAAAAAACTTCAAGCTTACCTGCGAAAAACGAAGCCTCATGGTCCTGGCTCAAATATACCCTGGGGAACGAGTGTTCGGATCAATCTCCAACAGCAGGTCTTATAGACACAACGAGTACGGGCAGTGCTGCTCTGTTGATACAACAAAGGGTTCACTGTGTGCCTTTGTTGAAAGGAATGCACAGTCTTATAAAAAAGAAAGGGCTTTGCAATCCTAAGTGCAACAAAGTTGTGTTTACCAATAAAATTTTGGAACGCCTTCACATTTTTCCTATTGTTCCCAGGGCCTCCGGCTGGATGAGCTTCAACCAGGCCACCCATCTGATAGCATCTTCCGCCATTGGGTCGCCTGTCTACAGAAAGCTGGCGATCGCACCATGCGGGCGTATGTATTGCCACCGCATACCAGAGCACAGTAGGCATTGCACCTCCACTTACAAGGGGCACAAGAACAAAGGCCTCATGCCCAGCTCACTTTCCTGTGAGCTGTGTGTCTTCCCAAATCACCCTTTTTTCCTCTCGCCTTTGTGTTCATTCAACTCTCCGTCTTTTTATGTTTTTTTTTTCTTTCTATATAGAACATTTATGTTTTTTGTTTTTACATATATAGAACATTTTGGAGCATACGAATGGGCCTAGCTCAGTCGGTACACCCATGAGCTGTTTAAATACACACCCCAGTTCGAATCCAGATGCAGTCAGATTAACGAACGCACTTCTGAATTACCGGGCCGGTCAGTTCAATGATGATATCCAAAGGCCGTCACCCTTTTTCAAAAAAGAAAAAGAAGAAAAGAAAGGAGAATAAAAAAAGAGAAATTGGACCATTTCATGTTTTACGCATGCCAATCTTGCACAGGGGCCACGTCTCTGTATCGTGTCCCGTTCAAATTTTAAAGAATGTCTGGAAGGACTGTGGCAATAGCTTGAAAGCTATGTGACCATCATGTCTGATTGGAGAGTCAAGCATGCAGCATGTTGGTCAGCCACTCCCCATAACAACAGAACTCACCTTGCAGTATAATACCAGCCTTCCATTTGGATAACGGCAAATCACCGACTGCCTCTTTCGCGTGCTGCAAAAAGATAAGAAAATGGCCATCCAATACCAATCTATGGGTAAGATGGGCAAATGACGTCACACATTTCAAAAAACAAAAGGCAACAGAAAAGGAAACGACAGGGAAGAAATCCTTGGTGAGAGGACGGCAGGTAGCTAGACAGCAGGGGCATAAACATCGAGGCGTCCAGCACGTCCTGACTTATTGGAGCCCAGATACAGAAGTCCAGCCTGCACAGCCAGAGAAACCACCTCTTTTCAGGCTTACAGAAAATCAGAACTTGTGTCAATCTTCGAGATTTTCCAGCAAAGCTGGAAAAGGCAGCCAACTTCTTGTGTAGAATTGGAATACAAAGAACTTCCGGCTAACAGTCATTCAAAATTTCCTTACAAAAAAATGCCCTACAATACACCCCTTCAAAGCCCTTTTTAACCCAGGTTACCTGTGACACCCAGCCAGAGACGAGCGCCTCATTCAGGGGGTCTCCCACAAGCACCTGATCAAATTTTCCATTCCCCGTCAGTGGGGTGCTTCCGCACCCACAGAAAGCAGCCCACCTCCAGGCTCTTTTTTTGTTTTCTGGTGACGGAAAGAGGGGTATAAAAAGGTTTCAAAGGGCCGTGTTTTTCACCCCAATCCCAGGTAGCCAGAGGCAGCCCAAGCGCCTGGAAGCCTACCCTAGCTCTTACCCCCTTTTTAGTTGGCCTTCAACCCCCCAATGAAGGGCATTGTTGGGAGCTAACCTCAGACCTAACGTCCATTCTACTTCACAAGATAATTATGCTGATACCAGACTGAAGGCATTTATGCTCGGAGGTGTACCAGTTGAGCCTGGAACCTAGTTTTAACAGACAGAAAGGGAGGCAATGAGTCCTACCAAAAACTTGCAAAAAGTGAACCAACCTGTTAAATTCAAGCACGTTGAGAATCTCGTACTCAACATCCTGTATGCGCCCGAACTTCTCAACGTGGGACTCCCTCACCCAGACACAATTAGGAGTTCGCCTGCAGCGCACAAAGCAATCGAGTGGCAACAACAATAAGTATCTTTGTTGGCAGGTAAACACAAGGCGGGAAAAAAAAAAAAAAAAAAAAGAATGGGCACAACATTCGGAGAATATGCAGTGACAAAAAGTCAACCCAAAACCTCCTTTAAAAAGTTGATGGGTCTCTGTTCCTCACACAAAACTGCTTAAAAAATCACAATTCTCGGGCTGAGGCAGCATTGGAAAACAGATTCTGACACAAAACAAGGTGAAGACATTGGCTGTTCTTTGTTCTGTAGCCTGTGAGATCTGAGCCCACGACTTATGAGCAGAGTCTCAGCTAGCCATGGAATAAGCCTTTCTTCTGACAGGTACAGTAGTATTGCAAAATTCCGCAGACCTGGCATGCCAGTGGAAAAAGTAGCTCATCCGAGTAGAGTACCAAACTGGGCAGCTATTGTTACTTCGATTCCATTCATAGATTTGGCAAGTAGAGGGAGCCAAGCAGCATGGTTTTTTTTTTTAGTGCTCGAAGAAGGGGACTTGGGGCGCCACCATAGACAGTGAAATAACACTGCATACTGGGATCGTTTGCAATTCTAAAAGTGAATGAACTTTAGCAGCTTTGCTTGCAGAAAAGAAGATGACAGGGGATGTATTTGTCGTGGTGGTAACCGCGATGACCCATGCAGAATCAGTCTAAGATCTATGAGGTTTCCTGAGTGTTGCTACACGCTGTTTTGGTTTGCTCGGGTTCTGAGAGAGATTGCTATTTGCTTTTATATGCGGCAGTCCCAGTCTGATCATTGCGATGCAGATTACTACCTGTGTTCTCCTCTGTATTTTACTCGATTCTTGTTCCTATTCCAAAAATACATTCGATATGGAGAATGCCAACTCTTTTAAATGTTTTTGGGAAAAATACGTAGGCAGCTCGCTCATGTCCGAACTAGCCCCATTGTATGGCACCTGTGTGTGCTGATGCTGTGTACATGATCTGCACCTGAACTTGCAGATGCCAGGTGGATTCTGATCAGAGCAGGTTATTTCTGTCTCTAAAGTTCTAAACCAATTTTGTTTAACAGCTATTTCAAAATTTAACGATCAAGACCCTGGATCTGACAGCGATCTTTCACATATCTTTATTTTTGCTTCTTAAAAATGGCGAGGGCCTTGGGATATCTTCATCAATCTGACCCACCCTCGGTAATTCAGAATCATTTAATTCCGTTCATCAGGGTCCATCAGGATTCGAACTCAGATCTGTATTTCAACAGCAGTTCATGGGTGTACCAACTGAGCTAGGCTCGTTGGTAATTTTTGACATATATTTGGACTCTTGCTTGGACACAAGTTCTGCTGCTAAGAGGCATCCTGATACTGATCACAACCAAAGCAAAAGAACCAGATCACGGTCCTGCTGCTCCAGATGATGTTTATATACCTGATCAGGTAGATTGGGATGAACATTACCACAGTTAAGTCTGTCAAGACCTCAACTCTCAAGCAGTTGTAATTTTGGAGGTCTCAATTTGTGTGTGTGTCATCCTTGCAAAGTGGGCATGCTAATCTTCCCTGTAGTGTTTCAAATTTCCACTAGATGTCCAGAAGGACTCTCACCTTACGGCTTGGTTGTCACCCACCTTAAATTTTTCAATGTCTGCTGCCATCAAACAGCAATATTCCTGTGCTCTCTGGTGCTTAATGTGTGATTGATGACATGATTAGAGGAAAACTTCACAAATGTCATGCAAGTCGATTCAACTCCGTTCATTCAGTATTACTCTCTCTCCTGCTCACAAGCTGCATTCAGCCGTATTACAACCACATATCAGATGGAGACTGGAGGAGAGGAGTGGGAAGGAGAACCACCAAAGTCAAACACCATGTCCTCAGATAACTTTCACCGACACCGACACGTACCCAACAATTCATATGCGACAATGAGGTAGCAAAAATGATGCAAGGGCTTCACCTGTAAAAGAAGAAACCGAAGTGCTTTGCTGCCGCTACAAGAGCGGCCTCGTCAGGGGAGGCTGCCTGGGGAAACAGGGAAGACGAGTTGTACATCAGTACCTATCCTACGGATAGTACAAGTTGTCCAGGGACTCCAGGACTTTGAGAGCTGATCCAAGCAAAGTACAGATTGGTTATTCATTGGCTTTCCCAGTTGTGCCAATTACCCACCAAATGCTGAGATAGAGAGGTTACGTGACTTACTGACATCCCATTCATCAGTGATACCAAATGCACTGCATGCCAACTACTTGGTATCTAAACACGAGTGATGTTTGATCATTCGGCAACCAGGGCGTGAACAGGGAGTGAGAAGCACAGGGATCAAGGCAAGGGGGGAAAGGGGAAGGGAGAAGGGAGGGATTCTGCCTAGGAGCCCTGCAGTCCAGGTAATGATAAAGTAGATAATGGACCTCAATAGCGATGATGCAAATGACATCGAATACAACGATGACGATGCTATTCAGTAGAACGGGGGCATCTGTAGGTTGAACTGTTGCATGGTGATGATGACAACGGCAACAAATACAGTAAGAACGGGAGCATCTGTGGGTCACACTATGGCCCAAGGAGAAGAAGAAAACAATACTGATAAAAATGATGATGATGACGTCAAGGATGACGATGAATGCAAACATAAAGGTCGTTCCTTAATTGATGTCTCTTGTGGGCAGTGTCAGTTCACTAAACATTGCCTGCCAACCGGTAGTCCAGCACAGAGTTCACACGAAACAGTCAGACCAATCAGCCCACAGTGCTCCAACCCTGCTGTCAAACACATCGGTACCTATAGAGAAAGAACAAGACCAGATGCCCACATACTTCCAATGTTCAGCACATTTCTGATTCAATAGCCTATGTTCCGAAGTGCTCTTGTATGTCCTCACCAAGGTTCACTATTCCCATTCGGAGTTCAAAGTACCCAGGTATTTGGAAGTTCCCTAGTGTGCCAGAAATTGTCATTCACAAGCCAACGTTTCAGCATCTCCTCACCAAGGTTCACTAATCCCACTTCAAAGCATGGGGGGGGTTGCACTTCCTAATGAACACCCTTGTCTAAAAATCATTTCAACTTTCAAGAGATTTCGAATTGAAAAAAAATAAATAAAACAATTGAATTGCCCATTTGCTGCTTGGCCCATGTGAACGCATACCATTGCAATGAACCTCAGAAAATTCAACTAAAAAATACAACATGCAACTGGAGAGCATTGAGATGAGGCTCACACAAGCTTGAGCTATGGCCATGAACAGTGCAAATTCGAAGTTCCACTCAAGGTCCAATAATATACAATTGAAAAAGTTTGGGATTGAGCGGTCTGCACAGCCGTAACATATCTCTGGTAAGTACCGGACTCTTCCCCTTCCAATCTGCTCTCTTCTTCCCACTTTCATTCTCTCTCTCTCTCTCTCTCTCTCTCTCTCTCTCTCTCTCTCTCTCTCTCTCTCTCTCTCCTCTGTACTGTTCATCCCTCGATGCTCCCCACTACTGTTTCCTCCCTCTACAACGTCCCAGATCTACCCTGAATGCCTCTGCGGTGTGTCTTGCAGCAAACGGGTGGCTATGGCAAACACTTCTCCTCCCTCCTGGCTATGGTGGTCTGTCGCAGCCAGGGCGCTGGTCTTCTTCCTCCCTTCAGCGTTCTTCTTCCTCCAGGTCGCTAGTCTGCACAAGCTCCAGCAGCGCTTCCACAAATTTGCAAAATGAACAACTAACTGTCCTCCAGCACTGTAACCCAAAATATATAGTTGCAGTGGGCTGTGTGTGCCTGCTTCAATCGGTACCGGCCTCCTTCGACCTCTGCCTTACCAAGTTGCTATTTTGGGAACTTTCCCGCTTTCTGGTGAGGCTGCTGCAAAACTGGACTTTTGGGAACTTTACTTGCTCCTACAGGTGCTGTATGCCACTGTAAACTACCGGCCTGCGATGCTTGATCGTGCAGGCCCTAAGGTTGTAATCTACGGGGCGTTGGACTGGGATAATTCAGGACCCTGTAACCAGGACTGGGAAAGCTTGCAGCGTGAATCCATCCACCACGGTGAGATCCCAGCACCTTCATTTTGGCCCATGGATGTGCAAACTTCATTCCATTGCCACACGTGTCTCCAACCGCCACTGAGTCCTAAAAAAGACAGGGTATACAAGCTCTGCTGGGCCCGAGGCATCCAAGTGCACGTATGAAAAAGACAGCGCTTACACTTCCTCAATCGACAAACTTGATATATGTCCATGTCACTTCGCATAATAGCAGGTTCATAGGACGTGAGTGCTCAGAGCAAAGGGGCTAATGATCCAAGAAGACTCACCTGGTACTCAATACCTTCCGGAGTCTCTTCCCCCTCAGGAAGGACCGTATGGCAGATTGCAAGCAGTCTGAAGAATTCCTGCAGCACAGCAGATGTGAGATAACGATGTTATGAACATATGGAACGACATTCAACGTACAAAAAGGACCTGCAGTGAAAAAGCTATGAAAACTCGAATTCTCCGACATGCATACTATGTTCACTGCACAAGACTTAACAAGGTGACTCTTCTGCAGGTCTGTTATCATGGCAGTCAGATCCTACATGTGTATCCGCTCTCCTCGGGCCCATCACGAGAAGGGCTCCTCTCTACATAGTACCTCTTTGCAACTGGAACACAACCTAACTAGACCGCTGCGGGCGTTCACCACCTACCCCATGCAGCAAAGAGTCCCGCATCTCCCCTGACAGCATCCATACTATATCCACTTCCACCTGTGTTTTGCATTTCCCCCTTCACATACCCCCATACCTGCACGATCTAGTCCAATTCATAGCATCTTCAAATCCTTGCAAGCTCTTCAACCAACGGACATGTTCCTGTTCTCGCCAGGCTCGACCCCCGGATCTCATGCTGGATACTGGACATTCGAACATGTCATTAGCATACCAGCTTATTCTGGACATACCATGGAGACCAACCCAGTTGTTACCCAGTTTGCCAACATAGGCACCACACACACACGATCATGCGAATCTTCTATTTTACTCTGCTTCGGGCATGGTATGTGATGTCCGCAACTTCCCAGTTGAGTTCGGCATTGCATCTGACATGAGCGTGCGGGTGTGGATGAGCTCACTCCTCAACCCCTTCTGGTGGTTTTGGGGGGCAATTCGACGAGCCCTCTGCCATCGATGCGTGACTGCCGCTGTACACTTTCAGTCACATCCACTCCGGGACCCAAGGGAGTCGTACAAGAGACCTCACTGGAGACTTCAATCATCAGGTGATGTGAAGAAGTTTCAAACAGGACCCACCTTGCAGACTTCTGACTCCGATTCATTCCTCCAGGCCCCCTTCAAAAGGCGCTTGTCATCAAAATTAAACCCTTTCTCATGAATTGCATCGGAAGACCTCTCCTCCTGCATCATAGAAAAAATGAGAAGCAAAATGCAAGTTTTATACCTTAGAAATGCGACAATGAGCATGTCTTCCCATTTGAGATGCAGAACTCGCAAATGACGAACTGTCGTATCACCTGCAGCAGAAAATGAACTGCAGCAAGCTGCATGGATTGCTACCATGGATTCCCTATGGAAGAATAAGATGGGAGAGGATGCAAGTAGTGCATTGTCCGATACACATCTGTGCTTGGCCTGGACAAACTGGTGTAGCAGGTCATACGACCCTGTGGGGACAAGAATGAAGGAGGGCTAAAGGAGAATTCTTTCAGCACCAGCATAAGGGAGAGCGTTCGGACATTCATTATTGTATTCAGAGAGGTGAAAGATATTCTGCGAGGGCGGATCATGACGGTGACGTTGATTCAATCTTGTGTTCTTCTACTTCCTCTTTCTTTACTCGTTCTTCCTTCATCCGGTCTAAATCTACTTCTTGGGTTGCGAGCATGGCACTGTCTCAAAGGTGTCTTAAATTATGAACTGAGCAGGAACATAGCACGTCCATCAGTCCTAACGCACTGACCAACACCCGCAATTCAAATATAATGAATCTAATGTCACGTACTGATTTCAGTAGAGGACCCATCATC